ACTGCAGCTGTGAAGCCCTGTTGTTTATGTTAAAAACTGAGGTTTATTCTATTCTGCACTGGAAGTGAAAAAGACAATTGAGCCAGCCTTTCTAAGACTAGTAATAGAGAATGAATAATAATCTACTTCTAAAATACCAACCTTATATATATTAACTTTCTATCTGCCTACTCTTTATCTTACTATTCATATGCATTAGAGTAGCTGCATAATGCAGTTGTACTAGAACTAGAAACATGGAATATTGGGTTTTAGTTGAAGCAGTTATGGCTACACAAAGCTAATTTTTTATTTTGCATAACTCACCAACCTAATTTTTCAAAAATTTTTTTTTAAATTCCTGTTGTGCCAATTATTTTATTTTTTTTTGCTATTTAATTTTTCTCTGGTATTACCTGATGATGACCTTAATTTTCTGGAAGTACCTGCTATATCTAAAAAAAAATTTAAAACTTTCTGATTCCATATTATGCAAACTGAAGAATTACTTTGTATAATCTTAGATATGAATATAAATTAATTTAGGCTACACAAAGTTAATTTTTTTTTAAACAAAAAAATCTAACATGTGACTAAAATTTTAAAACACCAGATTATACAAAATAAAAAATTAACTTTGTGTGGCCTAGCTATGCATTAAATCTATCAACTCAGAAGTCTTATATCTGTGCTTATGATATCATACGGTACAAGAATCTAACTTCTATATAAAGCAAGAATTTAACTACTAAACAGCACAAAAATTCATGTTTGGTGAAGTATAAAAACCTCAAGAAAAAAAAGAAAGTTAGTAACAAAACTAACAAGACAAAAAAAAAAGAAAAAAAAAGAAATTAATACCTTATCTAAAAATATCGTATACATATTTTTCAGTACTGATTTACATTCAGTAAAGCTTAAAAATCTAAAAAAAAAAATTTTTAAAAAAGTCTAAAAAAGATCAAAAAATAAAAACTAAATGCCTTATCTGAAATATTGCTTGTATATTTGCCTGATGCTGATTTATTTTTTGGTAAAGCCTAATGCTAAAATTCTAAAAAAAAAAATTTTTATGATTCTTTGAACCCCTAATTTATATAATTATTATATTTGCATATATGTGATAAATTTAACACAATTTTTTTTACAAGTTATTTTCTTCTTATATAAGTATGAAAATATTTTACAATCATATCCAATATAATTTTTTTTCTCACAATTATATGATATTAATATAGCAAGTATCATATATAGCTTTGATAATAGTTCTTAACTTCTACTATAAATAGATAAATAAAAATTATACTTTTTACTAAAACAAGATTTTGCAAAAATTAGGTATTACTTAATTTAGCTCAAGATATATATATTATATTGTATATATATACAATATATTAATATGATTATGAAGATTATGCTATCTAATCAAATGCAAGATTTTGTTTACACTATTCTAGATGGCAGATAACTATACATTCTATTATACAAGCAAAACTATATTTCTGGTACAAACTATTCTTAATACTCTTTAGCATGACAATTATTACTATATACATGAACATAGTATTAATACAGTACTATATAAAAACCTGCTTCTAACAAAAAAGCCTGTGATATGCAATAAAGTCATTTAATTCTACGATAATAATAAATACTTCATTATGTACTTTATACAAGATTATCACTGGATGATCTACATGAATTTTGTATATTGGACCTAGCTGCTGCACCAATTTTTTACAGATGATTTTTGATATTGATTGGCTAAGAATAACAATTTTTGATTTTAATTGGCTAAAAGCAATGATCAAAAATTTAGACCTAAGTTACTCGGAATTTTACTAATAAAACCATAGCTACATATTAAGTGAAAAATATTCTTGGGTTAATTTTATTATTGTACAAGCCTATTTCTCTAAAAATTTCTATTTTGGGAATAAAAAGTTAAAAAGTTAATTCTAGCCAAAAATTATGTAAACAATTATGTAATGCAGGCTAAAATTTTGTAGATTATAGCTATTAGCTAATTAAAATCAAGAATCATCTGTAAAAAATTGGTATAGCAGCTAGGTCTTTTAATTTAGCATTGTTACTTTTTTCTACCAATAATCCTATGTTTGGCTAAATATACTGTATTTTCATTACTATTACTATTTTAAACCAGTATGCTAGATATTGATATAGAATATAATAGTTATAGGACATGTCCTTCTTCAGAGGTTTTAAATATTATTACTTATAAATCAAATGAGTTGACTTATCTAATTTTATATATAAATTTATACAAAAAATTATTATTATTATTTTTTTTTTTAATCTTTGGTAACCTTGCTAATGATCCTTGATTAAGATTATTATATAAGTAAATTATATAATGTTGAGCTTAATATTTAGACCTGACATCCCCAGGCAACCTTATAGGTACCCAGAAGTGGTTTGCTGCACTGATCTGAAGAATCTTTCAAAACCAAAAGACTAATATCAGCCATACAAGCTATACCAAAAAGGCTTGTGGTGCAAAAAATTATTTAAATTAAATTTATTTAAAAATATATATATAAACCTTTCTTTAAATTTAAATATGCAGTATATTCTTTAATATTTAATAATCTTTAAAGTTTTAGTTTTTAATTTCTAGTAGTTTTAAAAGAATCTTTCTTTAAAGTTGATGTATTTTTTTCTTTATAACTCTGTAAAATTATATTATTATTTAAAGCAATAATATGATTGGTTAAAATAATCTTTTAAAAATATAAAAGATACTATTAAGTAAAGACTTCTTCTGCTTCTAAGTAAAGTTAAAGAAGAGGTTCTTCTAATTCTAATAATAGTTAAATCATCAAAATTGGCTTGTAGATTCCAAGATACTTGGAATCAAAGAAGAGAACATAAAGATCTGCAAATTTACTATTACACAAAGTATTATAAATTATAATACTTTGTATAACAATAAATTTGCAGATTTTTTATATTCTCTTTTTTGATTTCAAATATCTTGGAATTCACCAAGCCAATTTTAATGATTTAACTATCATTAGAATTAGGAGAACCTTCTCTTAAACTTTACTTAGAAGCAGAAGATGCCTTTACTTAATAGTATCTTTTTAAAAGATTATTTTAACTAATTATATTATTAAATAGAGTGAGTCACTTATTTGACTTAAATAATATAGTAAAGAATTAATTAACTTTAAAAAAAGATTCTTATCGAACTACTTAAAGCTAAAAACTAAAGCTTTTAAATTAAAGATTATTAAATACTAAGGAATTTATATTTAAAATTTAAAGAAAGATATATATATATATATTTAAATAAATTTAATTTAAATAATTTTTTTTGTATAAATTTATATATAAAATTAGATGAGCAACTCATTTAATTTATAAATACAGCATTTAGGTAGGATATGTCCTATAACTGATAGACTTAAATCAAATCTGTATTTATAAGCAAAGAAAAAGTGAAAATTAAAATAAAAAAATTAAAATAAAATACTAATTTGTGTTGGTAATATAAATTCTAAAAATATTTTACCAGAAATAGAATGATATATTACAAAGTAAATTACTATGGCATTTTTAATTATCTGCAAATTCTCATAACTAAGACAATTTATTAGATACAGTAAAAAAATGTGAATTTTTACACTTAAACATTACTATAGCATCATAGTCATTTTATACCCCGTATAAAATTTGATAATTCAAATACAAACAAACTCAACCCTAACTATGAGGTTTACTAACAATTATATCATTGCCACCAATTTCACTGACAACCCACTTCATTGACAACCACTTCATTGACAATCCACTTCTTCGACACCACTTTCTCAAAATCTCACTTCTCTGACATCCCATTTCGCCAACAGCTATTTCACTAAATGATACTTCACCAACTAACAACTAATTATAGACCTTAGATTATATTCACAAATTAGCTAGGAGATAAAAATGACTACCAACAAAAAAGATTTTGATAGATTTCATTGACAAACTACCTCTAGCTAATGCCAACCATAAAGCAAGAAAATGAAAATGCTGTTGGCAAAGTGATTGTTAACAGAGTGGGTTTATGCCATAAAAAGTTATCAACAAAATAGCTGCTTGTAAAATGGGTGTTGGGAAAGGAGCTTTCGGTGAATTGGGATATCAGAAATGATTCGGGTAAGTGAGCTGTATTGGGCTATCGGCAAAATGGCTGTTGGCGAAATTAGCATCAACGAAATAGATATCAGTAAAATTAGGACATACCCTAGCTATGTATTATGTATTACTGAAAAATAAATACATAGTTCACGATAGAAATCACGATAATTTCAATGCAAACTATCTTAACCTTAACCACATACTATGTATTGCCACAGTAAGATAGAAAGTAAGTTCTGCGACAGAAATTTAATGATATAAATTACATAATTCTAATACAAACTAAATTTACACATACTATAATATTTGAATAATGAACTCTGTAACAGAATTTTTTTATAGTAACTCATAGTAGAAATTATAATAAGTATAACGAAACTAATTTAACTACATATTATATGTGCTGTAA